ACAAGGGGGAATGGCTTTAAATTTGAACAGGAGAGATTTGGGTTGGATACAAGGAAGTTCTTCCCTGTGAGGGTGCTGAGGCGCTGGCACAGGGTGCCCAGAGAAGCTGTGGGTGGTCCCACCCTCGCCAGGTTGGACACAGGGACTTGGAGCAACCTGCTCTAGCGGAAGGTGTCCCTGCCCATGGCACGGGCTTGGAACTGGATGAGCTTTAAGGTCCTTTCCAACCCAAACCACCCCATGATTCCATGACTTGTAGTGTGGCATGCTCTGGCCAGTGCCCGGCCACGCACTGCCCTGTACTGCCCACCCTGCAGCAGCGCAGGCACAGACCTTGATGACGTACTTGTAGCACTGCTCTGCCTCCATATGCCGTCCTCCCTGGGGAAAAGACACAGAGCAGTGAGGACATCATCCCATGGGAATGGTGTGGGCCCTTTGGGAGGTCGCACGTGGTAAGAAAGCTCAGCACAAAGGATGTGCCCCAGGGGAGTGACTGCAGGCAGCAAAGGAGGGCACTGCCTTGCTCATCAGAGCATTCCCCCCTCCCCAAGCACAGCCCCCAGACTTTACCGACAAGTTCTACACCAGGTTGTTCAGGCCATGGGGGTAGTGGGCTGGGCACTCACATGCAGGCAGATGAGGGAGAGATATGCCCACACTTCAGCATTGGTGTTATTGAGGGCATTGGCTTCAGAGAGGGCATCTTCTGCTTCCACCATCTCCTTCAGCTTGAGAGAGAGAGGAGAAGCATGAACAGAAAGCAAACAGAGGGAGAAAGGGCTTTAGAATCACTATAACAGCTGAAGGACACAGTGCAACAAAAGCATCTAGCAGGGTTTCACCAACAGAGGTGCAGAGAAAGGATTTAAGGCAGAAACAACCAGTTATCCCTGGAGCCAGCATCCAGCATTCCAATCAGGAGCATAAGCCTCTCACTGCTGACTCCCGACCCCCTGTGGGAGCACCCACTATTTACACATCAGACCCAGGCATAATGAAAGCAGCAAGAACACCTCAGCCCCTGGGAACCAAGCAGTGAACACAGGCTGAGAGAGCTGGGCTTATTCAGCCTGGAGAAGAGAAGGCTCTGGGACAACCTTAGTGCAGCTTCCAGTGCCCAAAGGGGCTACAAGAAACATGAAGAGGGGCTTTGGACAAGGGCCTGTAGGGACAGGACAAGGGGGAATGGCTTTAACCTGCCAGAGGGGAGATTGAGATGAGCTCTTAGGCAGAAGCTTTTCCCTGTGAGGGTGCTGAGGTGCTGGCACAGGTTGCCCAGAGAAGCTGTGGCTGCCCCATCCCTGGCAGTGTTCAAGGCCAGGATGGACATAGGGGCTTGGAGCAACCTGCTCTAGTGGAAGGTGTCCCTGCCCGTGGCAGTGGCTTGGAACTGGGTGAGCTTTAAGGTCCCTTCAACCCAAACCAGTCCGTGATTCTGTGATCCCTGTCCCTGCTGCAGGGTGGCTCAGGAAGGCACAGGAGCCAGTGCCCAGGAGGCTGCAGTCAGCTCCCATGCTACCACTCGCCTCTCTGGCTCCCAAGGGGTGCATGTTTGGCCAAGGGGGGAACAGAATTTCAAGTCCTCTCTCTGTTTCTTCCCATGGAGAAGCTGTATGAGGTGAACTCCTGGCTGATACCACACTGCCAGGGCCTGGGTGTCCTTGGCAGCCTTGTCAGAGGCGCTGGGTTCTTCCAGGCAGGGAAAGCACCGATATTCCTGACATTCTGTCCAGTTCTTTTGTGGTGATGTGCAGGTCATGGACAAGCACTTGGGCAGAGCTCAGGCCTGGCTGGGTTACATTCTGCTTGGACACCCTGGGGAAGGCCCTGGCAGTGGGATGAGGGGAAGGATTGCTTCTTCAAAAGCAGTTGTGGAGGTGACTGCTCCAACGTCTCCAGTACTAGCAGCCATGGTGCCAGGCAGGACCACGCAGCACATGGCACACGGTGGCCCTTGGGAGCGTTGGTTTTAAAGAGAGCTGAGCTTTACTTTGGGCAAGGAGAAAAGCAGCCCAGGCCACAGCACCAGTTAAAGGAAGGTCACCTGTAGGCACTTACCCTGTAGCAGGCGATTCCCACCCCCAGCCAGGTGAGACAGGACGCGGAGTCTTTGCAGGCGAGCAGGTAGATCTTTTTCGCTCGGCCATACTGCCACAGGAGAGACACGAGCACATTACTCTGCAGCAAACGCATCACTGCAGACAGACCCCCCTTTCTCAGGACTGGGTTCAAACTTAAACAGAGGAAGTCTGGGTTAGATCTTAGGCAGAAGCTGTTCCCTGTGAGGGTGCTGAGGCGCTGGCACAGGGTGCCCAGAGAAGCTGTGGCTGCCCCATCCCTGGCAGTGTTCAAGGCCAGGTTGGACACAGGGGCTTGGAGCAACCTGCTCTAGTGGAAGGTGTCCCTGCCTGTGGCAGGGGATTGGAACTGGATGATCTTAAGGTCCTTTCCAGCCCAAACCAGTCTGGGATTCTATGAATTTGCCAAACACCTAATTCCCATCTCCAGTGGGGCTCAGACCCCCACTGTTCCCACTGGGGGGCTTGGAGTCTGCCTGCTGTCCCTTCTGTAGTGGCTCTTTGCTGGCAGGTACTGATACAGTCACCTTGTGTCTGGGATGTTGAGAAATGGCTCAGCAGCACCCTGAGATGTTGCAACTGGGATGTGGAGCTGGCACTAAGGAACACAGCCCTCCAGAAGGATTTGCTGGCTTGTGATATGTTGGCTATAGCAACAGCTTATGGTGTCTTATACCCAGGGTCTGGAATCTCCTGCTTTGTGACAGATTCCCTTCTGCCACTCCTGCTGGCTCCTCACCAATTTCTCCTCCAGGTAGATGGAGCCCAGGCGCAGGTAGACAAAGTGCATATCTTCAGCATCCTCCATAAACCCCATGGTTCGCTCATAGCACTCCTTTGCCTCACCAAAGTCTTCCTTCAGGTAGCAGAGGTGCCCTTTCTGAGCCCAGACGTTTGGATTCTGTGTGCACAAACCCAGGAGTGAGACGTGGCTGGGAGATGAGAGGGAGAGAGACTGGGAGAGGGGCAGGGACCCTGTCCGCAGCAGAAAGGAAGAGCTGAGTAGTGTTGAATTGTAGCAGGGCAGATTTCTATGTAGAGTTAAAACCAAGTCAGCAGCTGCCTGCATGACACCAGCAACGGGAACCCCCTCCAGGCGTTCCCTGCACGGTGTTCTGGACATGCCAGGCTCTCCAGGGATGGTGAATGTGCAAGCAGCATTCAGGAACGTCAGCTTCCCCCTGCTTTCCATTCAACCTGCCTTCCATTCAACCCAAATCCCCAAAGTTGCTTTCCCACTGCTGAATAGCAACCTTGTTCCTCATGAAACAGAGCCTGACCCACAGACAGAAGAACTCTCTACACATTCAAAAGGAAAAGAAAGAAAGGCAGATGCTGCAGGGAGAGGCGTCCCCCCTCAGAAATGCTGCCTGTCTGTGTGGGAGAGGACAGGAGGCAAGGGATCACACACTGAGTTACCATGCAGTCAATCCTAACAGCCTCGCAGAGACATTCTTCACATTTGGAGAGTTCTTCTTTCAGCAAGTAAGTCTGGGCCAGCGCCAGGTAGTACCCACTGGAGGGACCACCCTGGAGGCTCAGCAGCTCGTGGGCAAGGGCCTTGTGAACAAACTGTGGAAGAAGGACACCCATCACATTAGGATTGAAGGCAAACCATAGGCACCCTCAGAAGGACATGGCAGGAGGGCTGACTTGCACTTATTTGACTTCCATGAACACAAAACACACAGGAGATTCCTTTTTTTATCCCTCCTTTAAATATTTACCTCCATTACTTCTAGTTCTGTTTTGCTTTAAGCAAGTCTTTCTGCCATGTACAATTAAGACAGGCAGCATCATGTGGCAGTCAGAGAGATTCCATAGAGATAGCTGCGTGGGAGAGGGACACTCCACAGGTGACACAAAACTTACTCTGGTATACACAAGTGTCTGAAACAAGGAAGGAGTCTTGGAAGCATCACACTAATGCATCTCACCACTTCCGACTTGGCTGTTCCCTCAGCAGCGAGCAGTGCTGAGCTGAGCACCCCAAGAATCTGTCTGAGGGGACTGTGTCCACCAGCAGCATTTTGGGCTGAATGGGTTTGCATTTCGGGGTCGGTTTGCTCCCTCTTTCT